CAGCGGGCGGGTCAGGAGATGTCTGCCACGCCATGTGGTCACCTCCGGGGCAGGCGGGGATCGAACCCATGCAGAGGTGGCTTAAACTTCTTAGTGCTGTGCTTCAACCCGCGGCTCCACCAGGGAGAGCCCAGGAAAATGGTGGTTTTAATGGAAAGTGTGTGAGATGTAGAACACGTGTTCTTTTAAGGAGCTTTTTACGGTTTTTATCTTCCCATTTTTTTTGTAGGCTATGGCTTAAATGTCTGAGGGCTATGCCAGGAGCTCTCCGTGATTCCCCTTCCTCCATCTCGTTTTGTGCTTCTTCCTACCCCCTGTCAAACAGTCCCAGGAGACCACTGTCACTCCTGTAAGGTCCACGCTGTTTTTGTGTGGAATGTCCAAACCCTGCCTACTTGCTTCCTTTCTTCCTCCCTCTCCCCATTTCCCATCCCCCTTCTTTTCCATCCCGTTTTTTTCTACCTCTTTCTTCTCATGTTGTAGCAGGTGCTCAATCAGTGTTGGCTGCTCTTGCCTACATTGTCATTATTATTTTCATTTTTGTTGTAGAATTTTCTTGGGTAAGACATCAGCAGCGCAGAAGTAACCTTGAGGTCGTAGCGTACATGCGGGATGTTAGGCTGCTAATTCTGAACCATGCCATAGCTGATCAAGTGTGGCCTGGCACTTCACTCAAAAGTTCAAAAAAATTTTTTTTCTTATTTTTGATTATAGGTGTTCCTAAAAGTCGACGAGGAGAAATCTGGCAGTTTCTGGCTTTACAATATCGTCTACGGCACAGATTGCCTAATAAACAGCAACCTCCTGACACCTCCTATAAAGAGCTTCTGAAGCTGCTCACTGCCCAGCAGCATGCGATTCTTGTGGATTTAGGTATGTTTGTCATACTGATTATTATTTACAACGTAAACAACAGATGTTTTCATTGAGTTTTTGCTTGCTCTGTGGTGTGAAGGGATTTGCTGGTCTATGCAGAACTGGTGACTGTCCTCTCATGAGGATAAGTGGCTTTGTGTCTGCTGCATGTACCTTGGAACCTAGATTGTCAAGTGAAATTTTCATCCCACAGTGAGCCCTCCGAAGAGGGTGTCATCTTCTGTTTGAATCATCCCAAAGGTCATATTATTGGGTGTTCTCAATTCCTACTTTTTGAACAACTGACTTTTGTTTGGGGCACATAATTATTATCTAAAGCCACATTTTTTTTTAATATAATAGTTTATTTTTACATAATTTTGTGCCTTTTTCCATCTCAGTTGTAACCCCATGGGCTTCCCATCACCAAATCACCCGTGAAGCCACACTGATTTTAAAATAGGTCAGACTAGCTTACAGGGACACTAGAGAGTTTATCAAAGGTCTACTCATTATTCTTAGACATATTGCTGAAAATAAGCCTATAAATGTGTTTCTTTAAAAAGAAGCAGAGTAAGTGGTTATGTTATGGAAATCACAAGTGTATCCCATTAGAGGAAAGAAGCGTGAGCTGCTATAATGTTATAGAAATACCTGGGGAGGATTTTCATGCCAACATCATTTTTTTTAAAACAGCATTAATGCCTGGTTTAATCAGTGAAAGCTATCTTTTAAAGACTAGATTTCAAAAAACAAGTAAAAATAGTATTAAAAGAGTAAAAATTTTAACAACTAGTTTTTCTCTAAATGAACATGTTATAGTTATTACTATTTTAAACTGTAATTTACTGGATTAAATATTATAAAGACATTTGACTCTTCTGTATCCCTACAAGTTTAGATGTGTAAGGTGGCCTGATATTTGGCATCAACTTATATATTAGTGCGGATAAAACTCATCAACCCTAAGCTACAGCTGACCTCTTCCTTTCAGATGACACACTTGTGTTGGGAAAGAGCCCAATGCAGTTAATATTTTTTGAGCCAAATAGATGTGAAAAGAGGATTTTATAGAGAAACTGAAAACTTTAGTTCTTGTCCTGTTTCTGTCACTGAAATGTGATTTTAGGTAAACTATTTTGCTCCTGAGTCTCAGTCCTCTCTTTTAAAACTTGCAATTATATTAGGCAATACCTGTACCTCACTGCACATCTAAGTTCTGCGATTGGAAATGGGTGATGAGATTGGGGTTGGGCTAGTCAAGATGTCCTAGTAAAGAGGACATGACAGGAGCTGATTGCAGGGAAAAGACTGGTCAGGAAAGAAATGGAGCTAGAACTAACATGTTGGACAGACAATATATTTACAGCAACAATTCAAGGGCGGAAATTAAGCAGTATTTTAAAAATTGCTTATTTTACTCTACTTATGTGATTCCCCTTGTGTTTGAACTCCTTGGTTCTTACTTGTTCCTGTCTTCCCCCTACTACCGCCGCAGAGTTAATTTTAACCAGTTCCTGGAAAATAGCACTTTTCAGCATATGGGTGGAAAGTATTTAAAATTCTGGCATTTTGCAAGTTCTTACTGACCTGACTGCTCACTTAACAAGGAAGCGAAGGTCCCACTTCACTGTCATGGCACATGGAAATCCCCAGGCCCGTGGGTGCCACTTCTGTGCTGTGGTAGTGTTTTCAGCACTTGTACCGGCTTTCAGAGACCCAGGACTGACTTTGGCTCAGTGTTTTTAAACTCAAAGGTGAATTTTCGAAAGTTGTTTGAAGTCAGCTTGACCCTTTACTTTTCTTGTCCTTTATTAATATTGGAAAAAGAGATCATTTAGGAAACAACAACAACAAAAAAATTTAATGAGAATTTCTTGAATGATAGGCTGAATGTTAAACAAAACAACCCCAAAGTTTCTCTAGAAACTTTTTCTTATAAGAAACCTAGGAATAAGGTATCTACCCAAAATACACAAAAACACTGATTGAAAAAGATACCTGCACCCCCATGTTTATTGCTGCTTTATTTACAATTGGAAAAACATGGAAGCAGCCCAAATGCCCGAAAGTAGATGACTGAATAAAAAAGATGTGGTACATGTATATATACAATGGAATATTACTCAGCAACCAAAAAAAAGAAACGCATGTCTTTTGCAGCAACTTGGATGGAGCTGGAAAAGATCATGCTTAGTGAGATAAGCCAGAAAGAGACAGAAAAATACTGGATGGTTTCACTCATAGCAGGAGTATAATGGACCAGGCGAGAAAATAACAAGAATAATGAACAGAGCATTTTGTGGGAGTGGAGTGGGGAATGGAACCAAAAACGGGGGGTGTGGGGAGGGAAGTGCACGGGATTATGGTGATGGCACACGGGTGACTTGGTGATGGGAAACCCGCGGGGATTACAATTGAGATGAAAAAAAAAAAGTACAAAATGTTGTAAAAATAAACTTAAAAAAATTAAAAAAAAAGAAACCTAGGAATAAATTTTTGTGACTATAAATATTTCCTTTAAAATAATATGATACCTCGTATAGAATTCTGATTTTAGATGGAGGCTGTCTTTATGTGAGAATGAAAAGTACCTTGATTTATAGTCAGAATCATTTTTAAAAAATATTTATTTATTTATGCATACAGAACTGGGGTTTAGGCCAGAGGTGCAGGGGCGGTGAGAGGATTCACCAGAGGCAGAGCAGGGATCAACGAAGTACACTGCTGAGGGGAGCAGTGGGTGGGCCAAGAGAGGTCTGCTGCTCCATGTGGGTCACCTCTGGGTGGGGATTGAACTCACACGGAAGCAGCCACAGCCAGCTGCTGTAGATGCTGCGCTTTAACCCACTGTGCCACCAGGGAAGGTTGTAGTCAGAACCAATTGTATATTTTCTTCTCCTGGGAACTCTGCTGAATATGTCCTTGACTTGCTTGTGCAATATTATTTTCCTTGAAAGAAGTTGTTTAGCATCAAATGTCTCCTTTGATAGGTCTGGAGATAGGTAATGGTCTGGGAGGTGGAACTTGCTAGAGTGACTTAATTAGATGGGTACTCCAAGCAGCTGTCACTGGTATGGCAAAAGGAGTTTGGTCCTGGGAGTTACTGAAGTTCAGTCCCAGTCTGGTTGGCCAAACATGAGGACACCTCAAAACTGCAGCTTTTCTTTGCCTCCGCAGGAAGGACATTTCCTACTCACCCTTACTTCTCAGCGCAGCTTGGGGCCGGGCAGCTGTCCCTCTTTAACCTCTTGAAAGCCTATTCTTTACTGGACAAAGAAGTGGGGTACTGTCAGGGCATCAGCTTTGTGGCCGGAGTCCTGCTGTTGCACATGAGTGAAGAGCAAGCCTTTGAGATGCTGAAGTTCCTCATGTATGACCTCGGCTTCCGCAAGCAGTACAGACCGGACATGATGTCCCTGCAGGTGAGTCCTGAGCTCTCTCCCCGGAGCTCGGAGCATGGTTACCAGAAATACAGTTGATGTCAAGAATGGTGGACCAATTGCTGGGTAAATACTGGGCTACGTTTGAGTTCACTGCTTTATAAACCTCTGTGTAATGTCTCTAGGCAGAATAGCTTTTCCATAAAGTTCATGAAGGGAATAAATAAGCATTTCTAGAAAGGGGATCTCTAGCCCCTACACCTGTGAATTATACGGAGAAAGTATTGAATGTCTTTAGTCACCTTTCCTCAACATGTCAGCAAAAAAGTTTCACTGATCTTTTTTTAAAGTCTGAAAATATGGTAATGTCTTTCTTCTACTTTGAGGGCACAAATAACAGATATCTATGTGGTGCTGCTTGGTCTTGCTATGTCTCTCCTTTTTAAATGTCAGATAGGAGCTTGGAAAGGAGAGAGAGTTCCCAGTCACAGGTAGTTTCTTTTTGTCTGAGCAAGTTAGGAAAAAGCACCTTAAAGAGTATTTAGTTGTATAAGAGATTTTTGCTGCCACTGCTTTCTTCAGTCTTTTGCCGATTCCTTGTTTTCACATTTCTCTCCTTTAATTTAATTGCATTTTCTTTGGTGTACTAGATACAAACAAGCAATTTATACTTTATCAATAGATAAACTACAATACCTCAGGCAATCACAACCTTGCAATGTAAAGCTTTTGGTAGCAAAAATGTAAAGAAACCTAAAGAGGGGATATGAGTGCTTACTCCTTTGAAGTGAAATAGGTATAGTGTCTTGCCCATAATATTTTGCTCTAGAAAAGAAATAAGATACGTTTAAGATGTGTTCTTGTTTCTGGTTACTAAAATCAGTATTTGCATGTAATATTTTAGTTACAAGTCTATAGGCCAAAATGGCCTGTGATTCCACCTTGTGGATGTTTTAGTAAATTATTTTTCTTGAGAGCATGCGTGGAAAGAAAGTGGGCCTATTTATTCCTTAAGATGAATTTTTTTGCGAGAGAGATAAGACTTCACTCCCAATGTTGGGCTTTTGTAGGAAGGGTGTGCATGTGAATATTTAAATGTCATGATTTGATTGCTACCTTATGACTCTTTACAGGCCTGATAACATCCCTCAAATCAAATCAGAATGCCCATAGAAAGTCTCATTTTTCTATTTCTAAGCAGTTTGCCTGTATTTTATATTGGATAGGAAGCACTGATGTTCTTAGAAGGGACTAATAGCTCTGATTTCCAAAAATAATGATAATTATCATTAGAATTTCAAAGAAAGGAGACTAGCTGTGAGTTATAGTTGATCTGGGTCTACAAATAGATCCAGCTGATTATTTAAAAAATGCAGTGGTCAGTGCGATATAAAATTTTCTCATCAGTTTGACCTTGTAAAAACTCACAATAAACTGGATCCAGACATTAATTTAATATGACCTGTAGTTATCAAGAAATATTTTATGTCTAGAATTATATATATATTTTATGTCTAGACAATGAAGATGTTTGAAAATCTTTGTTAACAAATTTCTTACTGGTCCGAAGACTGAGGACTGTATCTAAGAGAGTAGATCTTTTTCGCTCTCTAAGGTGAAATGGAGCACTTTCCTACTCTCTAGGGCAGAGGGTTTTATGCAATCACTGTTAACTTTTGCAAGTGGAAGCAGCGGGGACTTGGCAGTCACTTGCTTAGGATTTCTGAGTTCCTGTGTTGCTGTCTGTGGCTGAGTGCTGCAGGCCCTTGGACTTAACCCTTACCTGTAAAAGGAGGGTGAGTTCTCTCTTACCTGAGTCTCATCTTGTCCTGAGTCTGTGTTTTGTGTTGGTGTACAAGCATTCCTCAAGTCTCTGTTCACCTTCCTCATTTCTCTCCCCCAGCCTGCTCCTCTCCCTTTTGACCTCGCCTCTAATTCTGCCTCTTCCATCTGAAGATGCCCATGTTATCTGTAAGAGAGAATGAAATGAAGTATTTATTCTTAAGCATAGCATTTTAATATTAAATCTGTTTCTCATGGGAGGTCGAGTAATTGTGTTTTTCTTTGATTTTTTTTTGAAAGAAACTTCATGGAAACATACCTTGGTAGGACATTCACCTCAACCCCTAGTTAGAATATAGGGAAAAAAAAAACAAAAAAAGAACATAACTTCTCTGAAACCATCACAACTCAGCAAGAACAAAGTGTTTTGGTTGATAGACTCTTTTTTATTCTGCTAATTAGAAATCTTTTACTTTTGTGCAACTATATCCACTCTTTTTGATAGATCACTGCTTAGTTTCTAAATTGCAAATAGCCTAAGGGACGTTTTTCAAAATGAATTACTGAGATAATAACCTCATTTTTTTAAACCCTTGTTTGACTGCAGCTAAACTTTTTAATTCAGACACAGGACTTCCTGTGGGTCTTTAGTTCTTTTTTTTCTTTTTTTGCAATTTGTGTAAAACCTTACTTTCCAAAGATAGATATTAAGATCAGGGTAAAACAAGTAATTTATGTATTTATGTTTAGTGGTTTTTTCTTGATTTCCAAAGGAGTTGGAGGTATTTAGTTTTGTGCCCTGCAAATGATAGCTGTGAAATTCAGTTTTTTGTTTTTTTCCTACGTGTTTTTATAGAACTAACAACTTAACGGTGTTATAGTAATGATATCTTCTGCTGCAAGAAGTTCTACTAGATTTAATAAAATATTGTATACATTTCACACAAAGATGTTAAGTTGACATAATTGATCAAGAAATCACTACTCAACCTGTTACTGTGCAAATAAAAATTTAATTTTTTCACACTGTGTTCCACCAATGTGTTTATTATTGGCTCTGCTTTGTCTGTGGCTATTACAGACATAAGAGTTTACAAGTTACTATATGCTATCTTTATAATTTTCTTTGAAGGATAGTCAACTCAGTAGCCAAGTGAGATAACACTCATTTTAATGCTAGATACATTCAGAAATGACTTTATTTTTGCTTTAATCTTCTGTGTCATGGGAACTGTGTCATGCTGGAGTACTGTGGGCATTTGGAACCAGAGGTCAAGATTTTGGCTGAATAACAAGTCTTTCAATGTTGTGTCCATGCAGAGAGCCTGGTGGGACTAAGTGTTAGTTCCCTCATCAGTCAGGTACTACAAACACCTGACTGGACTGACTGGACAAGCACCACTTCTGGACTGAATGTGGCAGATTTCTTTAGAAAGATGCTTTTCTAGAATTGGCCTAAAAGTAGAATAGAGTCCTGAGTTTGGACAGTTCTGATATACTTACAAAAGAAATGTTTTAGGAAAAGTATAGTTTCCATCAGTTTACATGATTCAAAATGTGAGAAGTGTGCTCAGCAGACACAAGATGCAGTTGTAGTGACTTACTTTAGGAGCTCAGTTAAGTGAACTTTTGCTTTACCATCAATTCGAAGATGGTTCAAAACTACATTCACTTACTGAATATCAGTGAAATTGTTATTACATGCTAGTGTAATACAATTAGAATGAATGTATCTTATGCACACTCAGATAAATTCATATTTTATTTTTCTGCTCTAAACTCACTTCAGATTCAGATGTACCAGCTGTCCAGGCTTCTCCATGACTATCACAGAGATCTCTACAATCATCTAGAAGAACATGAAATCAGCCCTAGTCTCTATGCTGCCCCCTGGTTTCTCACATTGTTTGCCTCTCAATTTCCACTAGGATTTGTAGCCCGAGTGTTTGGTAAGTGAAGCCCATGATTAAATGAGCAGTGCTATTGATTCCAAGGAATGTACTTCTCATCAAAGGGCTAATTACTTATGTGTTGCCTTGAACAGCCAATTGGTATGGAATTGAACAAATGTGCCTGGCTCTACTCTGCAAGTAATTCCAAACCATATTGGTCTTAAGAAAAGTTGAAATTAAAAGGGGATGAATAAGAATTGGACTGTCATATTTGAATAAACTGTAACAAGGATTTTTTTTTCTCATTAAACTTATAAATCAGATTTTAAAAATTTATTTATTTGTTTTTTTAGCTGAATGTTTTGTGTTATTTTCCTTCCCCAACTCTACACTCAAAACTATTCTCTGGCTGGGTAATTGGAAATACCTGTATAAATGTTATTTCTGATGGCATTTCTTAATCCGGCTTTTTGCTAGCAGGCTACCTTTCCTTTCTTCACTGCTTCAGGGACTAGTGCAGGGCAGTGGTGGGGCCAATCTATGAGCTGCTAGCCCAGGGGGCAGCACTAAGGCCAGGGGGCCTGGCCTGTCATGAATTTCCAAGCTGCTGTCTTGCTCATCAGTGTGAGACACGAGAAACAAAGAGTATGGAGTGGCCGGTGTTCCCTTTGGAAGCCTAAAATATCTTCACAAATCTTCAGTAAGGTTTGTCTAAATCCAAATTTAAAATGTAATTAAAAACAAAACAAAACAAAACAAAACAAAACAAAACAAAACAAAACAAAACTCTCCCCTGGAGGTATGTTCTGAGGATGTGATTTAGGACCTTGATGACCTGAAAAGGGGCTCCCAACATTTTTATGTTCTGCTCATCTATCCAGTAGCTGTAACCAGTCATCAGTAGTTATAATGCGCTTTGGCTAGTGTGACATTTTTTTATCAAATTTTAAGTATTGCCTCATGTTGAGTGTTAAGTGCCAGTAATGCTAATGTTGAGTGTTATTACCAGCATAAAAGAAGTGATATCAGTAGAACACTGAAGGTATCAGTTTTACAAATCAGAAGGGAAAATGTAGCTTAGCAAATGGTCATTTTGAAGGTGCATGTGTCGTGTGCATACCTACACCAGGTTACAGTGTGCCTTAATAGGAGGCTGTATTTTAAAAAGTTAAGCACTCTATTCTCAGTAAGACCATTGGTAGAAAAATACAGCCAAACAGTAAAACCAAGATGCACTAATCACACGCTCACCAGCTATCTCTTACTTATTGAATATTCTTGGTGGCTTTTCTTCAGTGAAGTTCTCTCAGGAGCTCGGATCCTCATTAATCCTCATTTCTATAAATCCTTTCATTTATTTTTTATATATTAATAGTGTGTTTTTTTTTTTCTTCTCAAAGACTAGTCTATCAAATCAAAATGATGTTTGAGGGTATTGCTGTTTGATCTACCCTTGGAAACTTTCTATCAGAGCTCAAAAAATTAATTTCCCCAGGACCCTGATGTTTGTTATAACAGTGGATGATGCTATCAGCTCAACAGTAATTAATCTGTCTTTTTCTTTGAATTTGGTCAAGATTAGAGACTCATGAAAGGGAAGAAAATGCATGAAGGAAAAGAACATGTTAAAGTTAACAGTTCCTCTCTTTTTGAGAGACTGTTGAGTACTAGTTACTGAATGTTGGAAGTTGAGAGAAGCTTTCCCACATAAGTATTTGGTACTTTTGAAACTATTGCATGTTTGTATTTGTTAGGAAGCAGAGTGCAAAGAGAACCGTTTCATTTTTTCTTTTACTTCTGAATTAGATTATCTTGGTTTGACTTTTCACAGTATTTTTTTTAAATTTCCTTTCTGATATAGGTTTAATTACATGTTAAATAATTCTGTCCTTTTATTATGGTAATAATAAGACTATGGTAGTAGTAAAATACTAAATAATCATATCACATTGATGCAATGATACTAAATAATAAATCATATAAATATGATAACATTAAGTAATAAATTATAGGCAATGTTATTAATATGGTAATAATAGGAATACAAAAGCAAATCAACACAAGCAATTTGTGATATTTACTACTCTTTAAATAGTATTAGTTGGTTATGTTGATTTGTTTTTTGTGTCCTATTGTAATGAAAAATCTAAATGAGAGTTGAATGAATATCTTTGAGATTTACCGAAGCTCTGTTAAATTTGCTACTAAAAATTATAAGTAATGACATAGACATGCAGTTATATATTTTTTTTCTTTTTATGCCTTGGCTAGATTTGAGATTCATAAATAGGTATGGGAAATATTCAAATATCACCTTCTTTGTTTCAGTCATATTAATTTAAGCTCTAGGTGGTATTGACAAGTATCTCTGCTCCCACTGCAGTAATTTAAAACAACAATGAAAACTCACATAAAAAAAAATCAAACCCTTATCACAAAAAGCAACCTTATTTCTATAATAATAGATGCATAATTTTGATCATGACAATTATATTCTCTTTTTTTTAGATATTATTTTCCTCCAGGGAACTGAAGTTATATTTAAGGTTGCCCTCAGCCTACTAAGTAGCCAAGAGGCACTTATAATGGAATGTGAAAGCTTTGAGAACATTGTTGAATTTCTTAAAAACACACTGCCTGATATGAATACATCTGAAATGGAAAAAATTATCACACAGGTATGATTTCAGTGGTAGTAGGAAGATATTATGTTGTGCAGCAGTTCTCTGTTGATGATATACTAAGTGTTTTTGCTTGACTGGCTTTTTTTTTTAAGTTTTGAAAATTTTGATAGGATATATTTTATCTGAAATTTCTACATTGTGATGATATGGTCTGTGGCCCATGCACAGAAAAAGTGTTTCAGCGCTACATAGGACTTTTTCAGCAATCCATTCTATTTACACCACTAGTAAGATGGAAGATAGAACTGACTGAGTTAGGCAGACCTAAGAATAAAGCATCCCGCTTGCTTTCATATCTTGTTAATTCTGTTTTAAAGTATGCGAAGGATGTCTGTGGCAAGATTGTGGTTTTTAGAATTAGTAATAAATTTGCATTCTAACTCATTCAGTAGCTGTTTGGCTCATACATATTGCCCTGACCTTCTGAGCCTTTTTATTTTTCATCTCTAAAGTGAAACAATACTGATCCAAGAGTTTTGTGAGGCTTAAACAAGGAGACTTACTATAACCATTAGGGTCCCTTGCAGGAAACAGTCTCCCTGCAGTGTCAAAGGAAGGTACCATTTACAGAGGTCTGAACAGGGTTAAGGGACCACCATGTTGCCCAGGGCCTAGGAAGCAGTGACAGAGGAAAGGAAGCTTGTAGTGCCAAGGTGGACAGGGGAGGAGAGTTGGAACTGTGCAGGTCGGGGTTCTGGAGTATGTTGTCCTCTTAGTGAGCCAAGCAGGGTAGGCATGGGGAAGAAATGCCTAAATGTTTTCTCTTGCCATTTCTGATCTCCTGCTGGGCCCTCCCTTTGGCCAGGCCTAGCCAGAAGCCAGTAGGAAAGGAAGTATGGAGAATGCAAGTTGTAGGTCTGTGCCTTCTGGATAGGGAAGAATGGATGAAGGCAGAGAATGGGTCTGGGAAACAGAGTAACCAGCTCATCATACATTTCTGCCCAGAGACCAGGTAAGTGGTAGCTATAGATTGATGCTGTTCAGATGACAGGAACAAGCTTCCCCTAGATTGTAGATAAAGCAGTCATGCTTTATGAGTATTGAAACAATTTGCCATGTTCCAGAGGCACTTGGGATAACAGATAAAAGAGGTTAGATATGAGAAAGAGAGCTTAAAATCTTGTTCCGTTCCCTGCTGAGCACTATGTGATTTTGGGCAAAATACTGCTGAATTTCTATTTCCTCCCTCACAAAACTGAAATAATATGATCTTATTACATTTTTCATATTGTTTTAAGGAGCAAATGCAGCCAATTAAATTTGCACATTGTAATTCACACTATATCATGAACATATATGAGTCACATATAAAATTTTCTTTTGATTACATGGAACCTAAATCATAAGCAAATCATTCTATAATACCTGCATAAATATGTATGAGTAGTTTATATTATTAAAATGTTCTGTAAGCTGATAAATATAGACTTTACTTGCATATTTACTTGTTTATTAATTCTTTTTGACTGGCAGGTAGTCGGCGGTTGTGCTTTGAAAATGAGGTGGTAACTGATTTGAAATCAGATCACTTGTCATCTAAAACAAATGAGGGAGTTGCTTGGCTTTTGACATTGTGCTAGAATCAGTGAATAGAATTTGTAGGCTGGTAGTTTTGGCCTTGATATTAAAAAGAATTTTCTAACAATTAGAGTTGATTGACTATAGAATGAACTGCTAATATTAGAGGACCCCTTGATGATGTTTATTTATGCTCACTGTAAAAAATGCAAATAGCCTAGATAGAAACAAAGAAGAAAATAAAAACGACAAACTTCAACACCGTGAGATTTAAAAACTGTTAAACTTCCTTTTACACTTCTTTGCTTACACACACACACACATGCATGCATGTATACCTACATCAGTGAAACATACTATGCATGCCATTTTTTATTAATATGTAGCATATTGGAAATTTTCATGCCACTAAATGTAGATCCATGCTCCAGTTTTAATGGTTGCGTAACAGTCCATTTCACACATACCCACTAGATAGGTATATAAAGATACCCATCAAAAAGTGATGTTCATCTGAGGACTCTCCTTGGTGGCACAACAGGTTAAAAACACTGCAAAGTTAACTGTAACTACCTCAGCACAAGTTCGATCCCTCAGCAGTATATTTTGTCTATCTGCCTGTTTTGCTCCCCACTCTCTCTCTAGTGAGTCCTCTCACCGCCCTTGCACCTCTGGCCTGTACCCCAGTTACATATTCATAAATAAATAAATATTTTTTAAAAATGATTTTTATCTGAGAGGAAAGACTAGGTTGTCATTTGAATATCTCAACTAGTAGAAGGGCAAGTTATATTTCTTGTCACCCTAAAGATTGTTTTAGTGTTGACACCACTGTTTGACAGACAGCCACTGCCTCACCTTCCCTAACCAGTGCAGACAAAATGGCTGTCTTACTTCTGACCAAACTGCTTCCTTTTTCATGGCAATATGCAAATTGAGGGGAACTCCAGTTAGGCTTGAGAGCTTTCTGTATAGCTAGGTAGTTGGCTATGAATATTCTCCATGTGGTAAAGTACCTGACTCTTAAGAGACTCCCATGAATTAGCAAATATTACAAATAAAGCAAATATTAATTTCAAGACCCTTCTGTCCATTGACAAATAATTAGAAGTACTTCTGGCCCCATCATTGTAGAAATACCCTATGCAATTTTGCTTACTAATAATCAAAGATTATCTTTAATGCAGATATGAATTACTTAATGATTAATGTTACTTACCTGGTATGCTACATTTGGGGAAAGTAATTAGATCATGTATATTTTGGTTACAAAATACCTTTGAGCATTCAAGTGTCTTAGCCTCATCATGAGATGTTTCAATTATGTAGAAGTAATCTATTTGTCCTTCTATTGATGGACCTACCATTATTATTCCTTTTGGTGTGTCATCCAGTTTCTCATTAATAATTAATTTGAAAATCTATAGAAAGTTGACTAGATCCACACATGGTCTTGTGGTATATCTACTGAAAGTCAGACTAACATGTATTTCCATGGCAGGTGTTTGAGATGGATACTTCTAAACAGTTACATGCCTATGAGGTTGAATATCATGTTCTACAAGATGAACTTCAGGAATCTTCATATGCCTGTGAGGACAGTGAACCTCTGGAGAAACTGGAGAGAGCCAATAGCCATTTGAAAAGACAAAACATGGACCTCCTAGAAAAATTACAGGTAATTTTGCTCACAGTACACTTGAGTGCCTCCTGCCTGCACTGCCTCACACAAGAATGATGGGGGTGGATGTGGATTAAGCCACTGCTGACAAGAGCTTGTGTATCAGAATACTCTGTGGGCTAACCCGGCACACTGGAATTTAAATGTCACTTGCAAGAGAAGTATGCATTCATAATGTAGTTAAATAGCAATTGAGGCAGAATCTGGTTAAGTACCCATTGGGTGTTGCACAAAATTAGTTAAGTTCAAAGGAGGAAGGCTTGAATGGGAAAGCTTAGGATGTGAGCTGTACTATGCTGGAAGAAATGAGAGAGGAATTAGGGAGTTAATATAATCAAGAGGACATGGCAGGGCTGCAGATTAAATTTGGCATCAGTTTAAGGTTTAAGCTGGGCAGAAGATGGGATTAATATGATGAAAGCAGAATTGTAGAGTATGTTCATTGTCAAACAGAAGAGATGACTTAAATCCTATTGAAAGAGAACTCTCTCAAAGTTTTTAAGCCATGCTTTAGTAAGATCAATCTGGAAACATTGATAAGGACAAATTAGAATGGGGAGAGACTATTGGGGAACAGCTGAAAATCATTTGCAGAAAACTTACTGGGGGTGGTAAAATTATCTAAAGTAAAAGTCACAAAATTGGAGAGGAAAGATGACCTTTTTGAGAGAATTAAATGAAAACATGTGATTACATAACCCCACCTTCAAGAAGTTTACAGTGAGGTGGGGAAATAAAATACTATATTTTTACTTATAAATGCATGCTTACAGATCTAATAAAACCATGTTTTATGTCTCCAACTTGGATGATTGTGCTGTATAGATTGAAGCCCCCCATACTTCCTCAGGGGGAAAGAGTGATCACAGGAGGAGAGTTCAGGAGTTTTGAGATATGGGAGGTGGAGTGAGTTCCGAGTTATTATGCAAGTGTCTGAGGGTTCCTTGATATCTGCTTATCTTCCCCCACCACCTGCACCGGTCCGCAAACTAGACAATACTAAGATTCTGGTTCTCCATGGTAAATCCTCTGGTGGAATCAGCCAAGAGAGACAGAGCTAAGAGATGCAGGGCCTGTGGAGTAGTTTCTCCCAAGACAAGGAACACTAGCTTCCTGCACTTCGTCTTTTGTCAGCTTTGCCTTTAGAAAATTTTGTGTCACTTCTGATTTAATAAAAAGCCAGCATTGCCTTTTTTATAAAGACAAGTAAGCTGTTGGTGTTTTGTCCCTTCTTACTTGGCTCTTTCGGTAGTGATTATTTGAGTTCTTCCTTATTAGGGGAGTGGGTTGAAACTTGCTTTATATCCTAGTGGCTTTCATTTATGGCTTCAAACTTTTTGTGTGTGTAGAACTGGTGTGTAGGCCACAGGTGTGGGGCGTGAGAGGATTCCCCAGAAACAGAGTGGGGAGCACAACAGGCGAATTGATTGAAATACACTGCTGAAGGGAGCAGCAGGTGAAAGAGGAGAGGTCTGCTGCATCATTTGTGGGTCTGCTCTCTAGCAGGACAATAGATCTTTGGCTGTAGAGGCAATAGCACTGAGACTCAACTTCTTTGTCACAGGGAGGCCCCAATCGTTTTTTTTTCTTTCTTTCTTTCTTTTTTCCATTGGTATCCAATGTAGTCACCACAATGAGGTCTCAAGTTACAATGGCATTCCTGACACCCATGAAAACCTATAAATAGCCAAGTATGTTTAGAAAACCCTGCATTTCCTGTTGGAGGACAAAAAGCCTTCTTTGCATCTCAGTACAGTGTTGTGATTCATCAGTTTCTCTCTCAGCCAAGCCAGTTCTCATTTTCTGCTGGGGATCACCAGTCTGCTATGATGACTGAACAGTACATTTTTGGTGTGTACTGTTAGCTCTCTATATTTCTGTTTTTGAGAAACCCATAAGTAGTTCAGGGTGTTTGCTTCCTGCACTAGTGTACTAAGCAAGATGATAGTGGTTTAAAATATGGGAGGTTTGACAGCTGGTCTAATAAGGAACTTTTTCCTTTAAGGATTTATATTTTTATGCATACAGAACTGGGGTACAGGCCAGAGGTGCAGGGGTGGTGAGAGGATTCTCCAGAGACAGGTGGGGAGCCGAACAGGCAGATGTGCTAAAATATACTCCTGAGAAGAGCAGCTGGCAAGACAGGAGAGGTCTGCTGCGCTATGTGGGTCGCCTCCCTGGCCTGGGATCGAATTTGTGCTGAAGTGGCTGCAGCTAGCTTCTTAGTGCTGTGCTTTAAATCGTTGCACCACCAGGAAGGACTCTGTAATAAGGAACTTTTTGATTTGGAGGAGTTTATCTTCTTTCTCTAAACAGATAGCTCATGCTAAAATCCAGAACTTGGAATCCAACGTGGAAAATCTCTTGACCAGAGAGACCAAAATGAAGTCTTTAATTCGGACCCTGGAACAAGAAAAAATGGCTTATCAAAAGACAGTGGAGCAGATCCGGAAGCTGCTGCCAGCAGATGCTCTGGCCACTTGTGACTCTCTGCTGAGAGAGCTCAACTGCAGCCTAACAACAAAGCCAAGACAGGAAACAAGCCATAACCCAAAGGGTGCCCCCTAGCGGAATGTGCTTTTAGAACACTACCCAAAGAAGGGTCTGCAACCTCCTGGCCCCGCACTGGACCCTGGAGCTGACAGAGACACCTCACCTGGCGCTGAGCTGAGTCCTGCACGTGGAGTCGCGCTCCTCAGAGTCTGCCCATCCTCAGCCATTGTTCCTCTGCAGACGCGTTTGTGGTGGTGGTGGTGGTTGACGATGTACATACATGTAAATTGGGCATGAAGAGTTCACGCTTTCCGATAGAAGGAATAGATGTATATTTAGAGCATTTTTTAAAATCAGTACTTCATGAAGTATGCCATAGAGGGAAGTTAAAGAGAACTTTCCCTTGAATACATGTGAAATCATTTTGTCTTTGTAGTGAAACAAAGCTGAAGCATCTTTGTTTATTGAAACATACTTGAAAAAAAAAATGAATGTATATTTTTTCTCCAAAGAACAACATGTTTCACTCATTGGTGGAGAGGGAGAAACTCTGCATCCATCGGAAAAACTGCTGACATTGGACAAGGGAGGAAAATGACTGCCAGTCTCTTGCCCCTGGGTTTTTCAGAAGATTAGGGGTCCTCCTCTCCCACCCGCTTTGTGCCAACTATCAATGGCGTCTCTATGCATCATGACTCTGATTAGCCACCGCTTTGGACGTGCGTGACTGACGTCAGGTCTGACCACCGCCCAGCTCAAGGTGAAAGAGAATGTTGCTAATTTTCTAGCAGACTAGACCACCGTTATTACTGAAGCTAAAAATATCAGTCCTCAAAAATTTGATTTAGATCCTAAATTGTCTAGTTCAACCTTCTACCATTTTATTTTCATCACGCCCATATTCGTGAGCATCCCTTTATTCGGTGCCACCCCCCTCACTCCCCCCACACCCCCCCACATGTGGGAGCTCTAACTTAGTGTTCTCTACCTTCAGGGACATTAGGATTGGTTTTCTGAAGCCGAGGCGCTGTCTTCAGTTTTTGTTTTTTTTTTTTTCTTATAAGTTGACAGATAAGCTCCTATATGTTTGCCTCCTTGTGAAAATTTATGGGAACTGTGAACTGTTTAAGAACAAACTGTAGAAATCCATTGGGAAAAAAAGGAGCGAGTCACACCAAGCCCCTGCGATTCTGCATTTGGACTCCTACCATTTTCATTCTTGCAGACAGCTTAGTAGAAGTTTGTACATGCTGGGTGTATGAAAGGAAATTCAAGGGAGTTTCAAAGTTCATGCATTGTTCTCCATTTCAGAGATGACTATGATTGCTTCTCTGAAAGTTGGTGCAGCATTTTTGCCTTTCTAAACAATATTTATTATTACTGCTTTTTGCAGTACTGATGTTATCACAGATGGATTACATGGGGTAATTTTCTTCAAAGGGAGTTTATTATAGCAAGCTAAAATGCATTATAGACTAGAAGAGTAAAACTCTATAGAAACCTGTCTAAACTGACAATAAGCATCGCAACCCCCTTCCACACCGTTACTCAGTGTAATGCAATGACTTGTTGCAAGTCAGCATGTCTCCTGTACAGGCAGTTTCTTAAAGAAAATCAAGTCTTATTAAAAAAGTTAATGTAATTCCTAGGTTCTAGAAAATGCCAACCCTAGATAGCACATTCATTTGGAGTCACCAACTGATTTATTGCTTGGATTTCCTGAATATTTCTATTTTTAACAGAGGTTTTTTTTCCTACCAGTAATATGATGTCATCTTGTTACTGCCTGTTGGCAAAAATTAATGTGTATAATCACTGTACAGGTAATTATATGTGTGTGTTACCACACAAGTGGTAGCCAAGCTATCTTCAAATTGGGGGTCAAACTTTGCTTGCTGTTCAGTTTAAAGTAAATTTTATTCTGGATGTTCCAAGTCAGCATGATGAGCTGTATATGGCGTTCAGAGACAAGGTGACTTGGAGACTTTCTTTCAAAAATGAGTTTCTTTTTCATTTGTGATTTTTAAATCATGTCAGTTATCCTTCATGCATTGCTACATCTTCATCTGGTTACTATAAGATCTAGTTCGTTTCCAATAAATACATTGCTAGAGTTTACTTGCCTAATTGGTTTTTGTCTCTTAACAAGAGAGAAGAAGCTCTTGGTTAGAGTCATTTACAAAAATCTGCATGGATTGGATTGTTGCTGCTTAAATCTGATTCATTGATGAATCTTAGTTAAGAGTATTACAGACAACAAACTTAATTTTAAAACATCTATGAAGTTACATCGTTGACTACTAGTTTTTAACTTCTTTTCAATTGAAACTTCTTCTGATAATTTAAAAAATCACACTGACAGATTTGTCAAGCACCCTTTTATTTTCTAGGTCCCCTTCTAAATAGCAAGAGGAAAATAAAGTAAAATTTTTTCATTTGATTAGCTCCCAAATAATTAAGAATTAAGAGTACTTTTGGTAGATACATGAATATGATTACATAAA